AATCCTATGTGATAGATACCAGAATTGTCACTTTGTCAAAGGAACCTTTACTATCTGTCTTTCCTTCTTGTTTGCCAAATAAGCTTCTCTTTTTCTGAATATTAAAGGTGTGAACCACGCCTTACAATAAATTATGGCAAAACAATCACTTTTCTTATTTTTGGCCAAATTTGACATCTATTGTTTAATTATCTTCAGTTATTATGCAGTACTTGAGAGGGTGAACTGCCATTGTTCACAGCACATCTGTAAAGTGGACCAATATCTAAAGGTTGGTCCCACTTTCAAAAGAACCTCTAGAATGGAGTGGAGAGTTTGGGAGTACACAGTCAGACCAGCGGTGTCTGAATCTGTAATGCAAAGTAAGATAGGTTAACTATTGACAGAGAAAACCTACAATAAAATTTATGAACATTTATCAACAAGCAAGCATAAGGGAATATTGATAATAGAAACTACTAGCGGAATAGTGCCAACAGATGGCACTATGGGACAGGAATTGGGAAGAAAGCTGCCAGGCCCTGTTTTGCATACTTGGGCCCAGCTTATATACTATAACTATAATAGATCATCTATGCTAATTGGTGGAGGACCTGGCTGGTCCTCCATCTCTTCCAGGCCTCTCCCCAAGGTTGCCCGGTCTCTTTCCTTTCTTTTCTTTTAATGGTTGTATATGCGCGGCCTATTACAGTTTCTCAAAGGTAGAAGCCGTGCTCGGCTTCACAAAACTGTGTAGTGTAGTGTGTGATAGTAATTTTAATAAATAATAGTACCCCAAGGCAGGGTTGGGAAAACACTCCCTGAGCTCAGAAGTGCTGGAGCTCGGGCTATAAATAATTATTCTGAATCTCCAAGAGGTTGTGGCCCTGCTGGCTACTCCATAGTTTGCCGCTTCACCTATTGGCCCTCCAGGATATGAAACATAATAAATCGAAAAGTTGTAGAACAATAGGTCGCCTAGGTCATGGGACAGTTAGACCATCAGCTGATGGGAAATCTGCCGGAGGTGCATAATTGAAATTTTGCCATTCCCAAGGCCTCAGTCCTTTATCCTGGTCCTTGTAGTTGACTCCATTTGGTATCATTGACCTTATGAAATAGAGTCAACCCTCAGGAATCTTCAGGAGGGCAAATAACTATCTGGGCTCCACATTCGTCAGAAGCGTCGATGGTGTAACGGTTAGCATACGCGCCTTCCAAGCACGTGTTCCGGGTTCGATTCCCGGTCGACGCATTCTATTTTTAGGCACTTATATGTTATTTCTATCCAATTGGACCCAAATATGGGTCCAGGCTGTTGGTGGGCAGCAGTTATTGTTGTGACGTAAAGATATTTTGATCACAATAATGGAGCGGTGTCCCCCTTTAGGGGTACTCCGCCGTTATTGTCCCAACGGCAAATTATCCAATAGAGGACTAGTTGGCCTTGCAGACCACCCCATCTTTGCTCTTATTGAGCCGCTTTCTATTTTCATCCATATCCTGCCGACCATTTCTACGGGTCCTTTCCATTTATGTACCGATATGTTATTTACATACAATTGTCGTGGAGACAATAAAGTAGCCGAAGAAGTTCAAATATTTAATGTAAGATGATATCGCTGTCGTCTTATCTATTGGTTTTGCATAGGAATATATCTATATAAAACAAATTTAGCAACAATCGGCAGAATTGACGCTACTGCCGATAAGGGGGGAGTGCTCTTCTTGTCATCGGTAGTAACTAATAAAATGACCAAAGTATGATATGCATAATGTTCACTACAAGCAACTATTCCAGCGGAGTTAACGGCGTTACTCTTGTGCCTGCCGGAGTTAATAATTATCCGAGCCGAATTTACTAGGTTCCGGCAGCCTATCAAGATCGTTTAACCCTGGCGCACAACAAGTGAGGTTGAAATAAGGCCTAAGGTGGTATGTGTGGTGCCCTAAACTACTGCTCCGATCAGCTGTGGCATCTCTAACTCTTTCACTTCTTTCTCTAGCTGATTTTTCTATTACATGTTCCTTTATGGTGACACCAACCTTTCTGATCCGTTGGACGGCGTCCTTTCTTTGGCAGGCAACGCCGCCTCTACCCTTGTAGGGCTTTACTTAAATCAACCTTCTTCCTCTTAGCTGATGCGGTAGCTTGGTAGCTGCCTCCATTTATCGCCTGGGCACTAGCTCCGCCTCGCACTATAGTCCTTGGGGTTTCCTTCTAACCTAATCCATAGCTGTTATGAAGGATATCAGCCATCCTCCGATATAAAAGACCCTCCGGGGTCACTACTCCATACACGATAGCTTATCCAACACACGGCCGTTTACACTCTTCTGCAGTTCGTTCGTGAGTATTTCCGTTTATTAGTCTTTAGTTCGTTGGCTTTTAGCCTTTAGTTTCCTCAAGGGTAGTTTTTCCTATGACGGTATGTAATCCTACTTTTATCAGCAGGTCACAAAATTTATCCGCAGCCATTATACAGCGACTGGCCAACAGGCTGGGAGGAAATTGTTGGGTTGGGACCAAAACAAACCGGCCTACTATGACACCCATAACAAGAGCTAGCCCTTACCGACGAGATGCAATGAATGGTACAGAGACGAGCCTTTGGTGTCACACCTGCATATGTTAACCGTGCGAGGGGAGAGTCAAGTATTGTCTATACCCCTTTCTCGCATTTCAACCTGCTGACCATTCCTACACCCTATTCTTTCTGACGTTGTATCTTATTGTCGTATACTCTACTTGTCCGGAGACCATTTGCAACTCCGCTCATCGGCCAGGGTACTACCATACCACATTTCTTTAACGCTAATTGCGGGATCTTGAACTGGTCGACTCCATACCGGACCCAGACAACCTTCCGCCAGATCGCTTCCCCAGGCCGTAAAGGACCTGGCATTGTCGCGCGGCAGCATCTGCCTTACTTATTCTCATGGTCTCGCAACCCTATGGCGGCGTGGCGCCACCCAGCTCCCAGCAAGCCACCGAGCAGACCCTGGATGAGGTAAGCCATTTTACCTCCTACTGCCGTGGTGTACCCCATTTAGAGCACCTGCTACTGTTCAAACGTACTTCCGGCCCGCCCCTAATCCAACTTAACCTAGGTATATATTTATATGTGTGTGGGTATGTGTGTATTTCCTACTGCAACGCATGCTTTCTCATGGCACAGCTTGAACAGCTTTTTCAACAGCTGGTGACACTAGACGACGGAGTCACGGCTAGCACGGGCAGCAGCAAGGACGACAACGACGTCACCACGGGAAGCGACGCGTCGGCGCTACCAACCGTAGAAATCACATCGGACAGTCCAGGGTCGGCGACGAACGACGCCCCATTCTATACGGCGGCCCCTGCTACCGCCCTGCTCGATCAAACCTACGACCCGTTCCTCACGCCACCGGTCCATCCGCGCCAACCTGGTGAGGCTAATCCTACCGATCCCACCACGGTGACGACCGGCACCGCACAGGCCTACGAGGACGCGGCGGCCCGGATCTTGGAAGCCCTCGGCGGGTCAGTTCGCAGTAATTACTCCCTACCATCATCGGATGCGATGCCCTCCACTACCCGTGGTGGCGGCGGCGATGATAACGACTTGTCAGGGTTGTCGGAGGACCTCAGCGTCGAGGCTATCCAGGCATATATGGCGCAGATGAAACTGGAGGTTCCTGAACTGGCCTCGTTCCTCGACCAGCTAAGTCTAGAACAGCAGCAGCAACAAGGTGGTACTGAAGCAGCGGCCCTGGCCTCCGGAGCAACCAGTCAGTTTGCCCCGGCTAACCACTTGGCCCCGTCGAACGGGTCGAGTGGGGACACGCGGCGGCCGCGTGTCACGAGCGAGGTAGATACCCTGTTACTGAACGCTGCGGGCCTCCTAGATACCACGAATGACCAACACATGGGTCAGCTTCCGACCATGTCCACCGACCGGGACCTCGTCGATTTGCTAGTTACTAACGAAGATAATGGGGGAACGGCATCGCAAGACCTCATGCAAATGGTCATGGAGGAACTGCAGTTGGAACGGAAGCAGGGCGGTTTGGCGACGGCGGGGATGCCAGGTGGTGGCCTAGATACGGATCTCTTGGTCCGGCTGGCTCGCCTCCATGAAAGCGACCCGACGCTCGCCAGTGCTTCAACCGTGCACTTGTCTGAGGTGAACCGAGTGGCCTCCTCCCCCCAAGTCGACCAGTTTGAGGAGGTCTCGGGGAGCGACGAGGCCGATAGTACGGATGAGGATGTGACGGATACGAGTAGTGAAGAAGGGAGGAGTGACACCGATGACGAGACGGAGAAGGATAGCATGGTGCGGTGTCGCGACGAATTCGCCCGCCCCATTGCTCCGCTACGTCAACGCAGCGTCGCCCACCCGACGCAAGCTGTCCACGGTCTGGATGGTCGCGGTGCCCGCCAGACATCACCCGCGTCATCCCAATCGGCGGTACGCCCAAATCCCCCAGAAGGCGCTTCACCGTCGCCATCAAACACCTCCGAGACTTCCGCCTTACGGCAACCGCCTTCGCCCTCGTCGTTGGAAGCCATTGACCCCAGTTTGAAGATGCCGATGAACGTTAGTAGCGACAACCTCGTGTGCTGTAAGTGAAGCAATTTTAATTGTTTTTTATTTTAGTTTTAGGCTTATAGGTTTAATGTTGGTTTTATTTCACTTGGTTTGAACCTGATCAAAGGGATGACCTACCCTTGCCCTTTATTGTTACGCTATGTGGCCCCACAAGTAGTAATAACTTCAGCTCTCAAATTAACACCCCTCCCCCCTTACTCACCCCCCCCTCCGCTTGCCGTCCATCTACCTTCCTTACCCCATGTATACACTTGACTCGGTTACGGCCTTCATCCTCTTACATGTCCCACACAGGGATCTGCTCCGATATCGCTACCGTAGCCTGCGAGGACTGTTCCGGTGACGCGTTCTGTCGGGACTGCTTCGGGCAGTTCCATCATAGCAAGGGTGCCGATCCGGATTTAGCGAACCACGTCGCGCACAAACTATAATTATAATTTATATATATATATCTTCCTCCTCCCTTCCATATGGCTACCCCCTCCCATGCTGGGCGGTACCGTTCACCAATTCCCGTACTCTCCGGTTTACTGTTGCTTTTTATTTTTATTATTTTAAATTCGTACGTACGGCATTGGAGGCCATCCCCAGCTTAGCCACTTGTAGATACTGATCAGTAAACCCAATCGCATATTTAATTTTCCTGAGCCGCGTGCTGACGTGGCCCGAAAAGGAGATTCGACAGCCGAACCTGTTTACGTGTTGTTGTTTTTTTGGACCGCTCCTAGAGTATGATAACTTTTTCATATCCTCTCATGACTACCGTTTTATTTATCCATTGGATTATTGAGTCCAAAGCTAGCTCCAATATCATAAAAAAATCTGACCAGGTATGCGGCCTAGGTTGCCACGTTTAATCCGCGAGATCCCTAGCCACCGTCACCAATCAGCTATCGATACCCATTATCCTAGAAACAACCCGCGTGGCGTCCCATCTTCTTGCTGGCCCGTCAATCACTACGATGCGTACGCGCGCGTGTGTGTGTGCGACCCCCGGTTTTCTCCGCGTCTTCAGTCCCGATCAAACGGCCGGATCCTCCACGTCTCTTACTCGTCGTCCTCCCCTCCGCAGACGAGATGCTACGAAATCATCATCTCCCTTAGACAGCCACCGCATCCCCCGCCTGCTGCGCACCGTCTTGACCTTCTCCCACCCACCCACACAGACATCACCACTTATCCTCTCATTCTCTCTCCTCCACTTCTCCTTATCATGCACCCATATCCACGATATCTATACGCTCTTATGCATGCACGCCACGGTCCAGTATTGCACCGCCATCGGGCCCGCTCGAAAGATCGCTACGTAAACGACATGTACTGCCGATTTGAATGGACGAGGGGGGCTCGATAATGTGACTGTGAATTGGTCCACTCGTTTTGGATGTTAATACTTTATTAGAATGTATACCTAATTCGAAAAGTGTGATTCGTCTCTGCAGCCGCCCGTATCCCTTGGCATGCTGAGCTATTCGCCATTGATCGATAAGACACGCTGCTGCTATCTTTGACGTATCAAGTAGCACATGTTATTGCCATAGTATCCTACACGCAGATCACCGGTTATTAGACACCGCCAGGGCGATTATATAGTGTGACTGGTTGTGGTGAGGTACATCTCCTCTCCAACTGCTGCCTTGTTGGCACATAGAACTGCGAAGGA